TGCCACTTTAGCTTTTTGAAATATTTAGCCTTTCCTGCCATTTTTGTCTCATAGAAAATGAATTGAGCTCATTTTACATCCTTCAGATCTTTAGATCTGTTTACAACCTTTTACTGCTCCTTTCACGTTTTGTTTTGCTTCAGCTTCTTTCAGCTTCCTTGTGCAAATTTAAACATTTTTCAGCTACTTTCAGCTGTTTTTTCAGCTGTTTTGTGCTCCTTTTAGATTTTTCTGCTAACAACAACATTTTGTGCTTCTTCTAACTTCTTTCTGATAATTTCAGCTTGTTGTGCTCCTCTCAGCTTATTTCTGCAAGTTTTAGCTTTTTTAATTTCAGCTTTCTATAGCTGTTTTTATGGTAATTTGTTTTTTCAGATAATTCTAGATTTTTTTTGCACTCATTTCAACTTTTTTCAGCCTAATTCAACAAAAGTGTACTCTTTCCACTTTCTTGTAATTTTAGCTTTTTTATCCTTTTTTAGCTACTTTTCAGCTGCTTTTCGCTAATTTCAGCTTTTTTCAGATAATTTCCACTTTTTTATTCTCATCTTTGCTTCTTTCAGCCTAACTGGGCAGACATGTTCTTTCTGCTTTCTTCTGCTAATTTAAACTTGTTCTACCTTTTTAGCTACCTTTTAGCATTTTTTAGCTCATTTCAGCTGTTTTCAGGTAAATTCAAGTTTTTCATGGTAATTTTTGCTACTTTCAACTTAACTTCTTTATACTAATTTTAGCTTGTTATGCACCTTTCTGATAATTTTATCTTTTTCTGCTATTTTAGCTACTGTATAGCTGTTTTAATGTTAATTTTAGCTTTTTCAGCTAATTACACATTTTTGAGTGCATTTCAGCTCTTTTCACTTGTGGTAGTTTAAGCTTCCTTCTGTCTTTTCAGCAGTTTTTTTTTTTTTTTTTTTGCTTATTACATCTTTTTTAGCTAATTTTCTATTTTTGTGCTCATTTCTGCTTATTTAAACCTAATGGACTAAATGCCACGGGTAGTGGTGACGTACTTCCGTTAAAAAATAAACCACGTCGATTACTTCCGGCTCAAACCTTCTGTTATTGTTTTTATCATTAGCTTCTAGAAGTAGACATGAAAAAGACTCTAAAAGTAAAACATCTGCGAGCTACTGGTACTACAAGTGAGTTCTGTTGTGTGCCGTTGTGTCCACTAACCAGCAGGTACAACAGAGTAGTTAGTTTTTTTCATTTTCCTGTTGATGAGGAGTTAAGGCGACAATGGATCGTGGCTATCCGCAGGGAAAATTTAGCTATAAAACCTCACACTCGCGTATGTAGTCGGCATTTCAAACCTGAGGACATTCAACAGCCAGCATCAGAAATGGGAAGACGGAGGTTAAAAAAGGGAGCTGTACCCGTTTTGTTTGAGTGGAATAATTACTTCTTTACACCTCCAAGACCCGGGGTTTGGGAGAGAAGAGAAAGACCACCTCCAGAAGACAGCGAGGAGGAAGATGGCACAACAGCCAGTGTAGACGTCCTTAAGGATCACGAATATGCCGCTACTCCAGATCCTGCAGTTGTGGATTTAGTGGTGGAGGAAAATAATCTTCTCCGGGAGGAAATCCGCCAGCTACGGGAACAGGTTGAGAGCCTGACGCTGAGGCAGCGGTTCGGCATTCACCATTTTGCAACCTCCGACAATGACATTAGATTCTACACAAGGTAGGTGTGTGTGTGCGTGCGTTTGTGTCACATAGACTATAAAATTATTTAATGCAACTTAAATATAAAATTATACACACACACATATATATATATATATATATATATATATATATATATATACACACACAT